TATCGGACAAAACCTCTACCGCCCACCATGAAAGCTGGAACGTCCACAAGTGGGCGGTAGGGACCAGGTTGACTACCACTGGTGTAGATATTAGTGTCCAATTTCCAAACATGCCATGGCTACAGGAGGGAAGGGAGAATCCCAAGAAACAGGATGAGGTAGAGTTCCCCTTAAGGGACAAGGCTGCCTCCCTCCTCCATTTGCAGAGGAAACCTTTAAAAGCTGCCTTCACCACCTTTGTGTATCCAAAAGCTCAGAGCTAATCTCCCATCAACAGAATGCTTGATGAGAAGAGGATTCTATCCTCTTTGAACAGACTTACTGGGATATATCACTTCTCAATAAGGTGGGGATAACATCCATGCATGGGTTAACACTGTCCGTTCTCTGATTAGACTGAGTCTGATTAATAATTAATTAATCCCCTTTATAACCCGCCCTCATGAGTAGCTCCATCCAGCTTTCGACTCAGTCCACTCTGAGGATGGCTGTGTTATCCTAGACTATTGTTATTCATATTATTCTAGCTCCGGTTTTTCTCTAATTCAGTGAATTTGCATTGGATCGTTTTGTGAGTAGACGGCTGTATGTATGTATGTATGTATGTATGTATGTATGTATGTATGTATATGTATGTGTGTGTGTACACTAAAAGGACTGTTAACACCTACTGTCCTTCAGGCTGCATTGGGCCACAACGGCCTAGGCCTCCCTGACCCACGCATCGCTGAGGCATCGCATTTGGGCCTAAGAGGTGGGGGACAGTGGAATTTTGCAACCTGAAGCGGTCGATTTCATTCTGGCTTGACTGCCCCCCTGGCTCTTAAACAGACTTCTAATCAGCCACTGTGCTGTGAGGCTTGCCAGGCAGCGCTATCAGACATCCGCCCCTAATTTCTCGATGAGAAAAGCACGAGGGATTCCATCAGAAGCCTGCCAATCGAGCCGCCAAGCCACAGACTATCTTTCCAATCGCGGCAAGCAATGGTGAGATCGTGGCGCACGGTGCCTCATTTAGACAGCGCATCCACGCAGCTCCGAGCCTTCTGAAGACATGGGGAAGCAGTTAAAAGGCAATTTCTCACTGCGAAGGGCAGCAGGAGTATCAGGGCAGCTGATTGCTCTCTGAGCTCAGGAATGCAGCTACGGTAGCTAGCTGGCACAAATTGCTATTTTGAACTTTGACCATTAAACAGCAAGGCGCAGACGCCATTTTGGAAGCTGATTAACAATCTGAAGATATCGCAAATGGCGGACAGCATGCCGGGGCCTTTTCCCGACGCAGTCAGGGCTGGCCGGGAGGTGGCCCAGGATCCCTGGATGCTCCACAGGCTCCCATTTCTCCAGCAGGACCCTCTACATCCCAAAATGGAGAGGGAGCCAGATCCTACGCTAAGCCTTCTAAGGCCAACAAGCCCTCGAAGTCCAAGAAGGGCCTGAAGGCAGCTGCTGAGGTCAAACACACTAACAGTGACCAACTCTTCTTCCATGCAGGAACGAGGCCAGCAGACTGCGCCCAGACTGGATCACAGATCTCCAACCAGCCTAGACTCGGACTTGGGGCCGTTCAACCCAATGTTACACATTGATATGGCCAGACTTTGGGGCCGTGGTCTGATAGCTTCCCTCCCCCTCAAGCTCCAGGGCATATGGCACAGTTCCAGAGGCCTTCGTGGCCCTGCCTATTCCTTCCCCACTCCTCTATTTCACCTGCCGCGTTCAATTTTCAAGACATATCTCAGAGGCCATTAAGCAGGGCATTGCGGACGGTCTTCAAGAGTGTAACCAGGCATCTTCTTGACATCTGCGCCCACACCTGCTTAAAGATGCACCACCAGCAGGGGTGGAGGACCCCCCTCCAACTGGGTCTCCCTGCAGCCCATCCCCGGTCTCTGAGGAGGGAGAAATCAGGTAGGCAGACCTTTCTGAGGAGGAAGGCACCACCATTGACAAACCTCAGACTATGGGGCTGTTCTCACCTGGCCTCTTCAACCCTTACTCGCCAAGGCCAAAGCCACGTCTGACCTGGGAACTCAAGGTGACGCTCTCTCAACGCAAGCACCAGCCATGTTGGCCAACATGTAGTTCACAGAACAGAAGTGGGAGGCCGACATTATACCTGCCCCACAGCTATTCATGGACACAGTCCAGAGACAGTGGTCTGCACCAACAGCTGCTTCGGCGCTCTCCATGGCCGACAGGAGATACTATAATGTGGCTGAATGCCTGGATAAACTGCTTCAATGGCCCTCGTTGGACGCTCTGATTGCTGCTCTGTATTCTAGCACCACATTGCCTGGATCCCAAGAAGAGGTCCTCAAGCCTGAGGACAAGAGGGCCAACCAGACACTCCAACGGGGGCACCAGGTGGCAGCATGGGCAGTCCAGGCATCAATGGTAGCTTCCTTTTTTTCTAGATCTAGCCTCTGCTGGCTCCAGCAACTCCAAGAGAGGATCCTGGCCAGCAATTTCAGGACGCACCAGGACTTAAAGAAGATTGTCGCCAGGGTACAGTTCTCATCAGATGCCACTCTTAGCACCACACGGTTCGCCTCTTGGGCCATGGCCTCTGCAGTCTCATCTCGCTGTCTCCT